CCCCAAAACCCCAAAACCCCAAAACCCCAAAACCCCTAAAACCCAACTTCATATTGACCAATTCATTATATATTTTCTAAATTAAAAAAATGGTAGATCCTTCTTCTCACCATCTAGAGCTCACGACCCAATCCTCGCATGAAGCGAAGGGACTTCAACTCCAACTACCGCACTACTTCCAAACTCCCTAACAAAATTCTCCACACTGTACTTCACTACTAACCCTCTATCAGCTACCCCACAACCTCTACAACACATATCAATCTGCTAACCTCCATTCCTTCACCCACCCTAAACATGTAAGCACCCACTCATTCCTCTTCCACCAGTACAAATTCCCCCTTCTTAAGCACCTAAATTCTCTTCTATAGAGTAAGAGATTTTTTGTGAGGAAGAAAAAGTGAACGGAGGTGAGTGAATTTGGAGGATTTTTTAGAGGAAACTTAGTACGGGATTTGAACGGTTGAGAGAAAGGAAGGAGAGGAAGGAACTTGAGGAGATTAAGGAGCAGTATAAGCAAATCCTACAAGAGCTGTCAGAGATCAAGAGCTTGCTCAAGGCTAATAGTAAGTTCACATTTTCTGTTAACATTCTGTGGAATTCTTAAAATTCTGACAGGCATGCAAGAATACAAGAGACATGGTATGGATAAACTTACAGAAATTTTAGAAAGCGTAGTTGAAAGTCCTGATCTAATCCTGGAAACAGTCGATGGAGTCACTGAGTTCTTAAGATTTTCAAATCCGACAGAGGAAGAGAAAGTGGTAAGTAGGAAGTAGAGGTTCTTAAAAAGGGTTGAAGAATAGAGGTTTAGAGGTGCTGTTTTTGGTGGTTTAGAATAGGTATAGTGGAAGGAGGGGTAGAGGATAAGGTCTTGTTATGGCTGTTTAGGTGTGGGGTGTTTATGGTTATTGAGAAAGGATTTTGTAGGGATTTTGTGGTTGGATGATTGTTGTGGTCGGTTTTCAGGGTTCTTGGGTTCATTTTGTTTGATATAAAAGGTGAATATAAATTGAGGAGTATTTTTATTTGAAACTTATCTTTAAGCATTTGGGTATATATTTTAGAGGTATGAATCTTGCTTAAAGCCCCTAGATTTTAGTTATTAATGTTAAGTAGCGGGAGGATAAATGGAGATAATTCTATTCTCCTTAGTAAAGAATAGTGGGTACTCCCATTATTATGTCGAAGAACTTGAGGGTTTAGAGACTTTCATAACAGGGTAGACAAGAAGAAGTAATTGGGCCATAGGGTGGAACTTATTAGGGATGTGTTAGAGAGCATCTGCTATTGTTGTCTTTCCTTTTTTGTAGATGAAAGAGTGATATATAAGTGAATGATAGTTTGGAGTAGAGATTAGAAAATATAATCATGAACGAAATAAATTTGGAAGAGTATTTTCAGAACGTCTAAATATCCCGATCTCCTAAGAATTTAAACCTATTAATCAAACAGAATAAGGGATAAAAAACAGCCTTCTCAAAAACCTCACTATCTCCCCAATTCTCCAAATTCCTACCCCATACTTCACCCCTTAAATCCCCCAAAAAGCCCCCTAAACCCCCAAAACCCCCTATCTACCCTTTCACCCTCTCAACCCCCTCTATTCCTCCCCTCCCCTAACCATCCAAAATAGGGCACAAAAAAACTGGCTGCAGTAAAACCTGGCCCACCACCAGTGATCACGATGCAAGAAAAAGCTCTTCTGTAAGCCATCTCAGAGGGATTAGAAGTAGAACCCACAGGGGTTTAATTAGAGATCTGTATTAGAGTTATTGGGAAGAGGGTAGTGGAGATGTAGCCTGGATACTAAGTTTTGAAGATAGGCCTTTGTATTGTATTTAGTTTAGCCTAGAAGATCTAAATATCAGGGATTATTCCCTTATGAGAGCTCGGTGAAATAGATTTATTTGAGTGTCATATGTTTTAATATTTCAAGAATCCTGGAACTCCTGGCCAAACATAAAGAATATATTGCATAGCTTTGAGGTTTGGGCATGGTGTTTGCTAGTTTAGTGTTTCTTTGAAGATTTCAAGTCTCTAAAGGATTCATTTGTTATCATAAAATGGGGTTAAGAGCATACTCTTTGAGCCTACAGCAACCAAAAAGTGCCTGATGGTTCTTATCATCGAAGGGATTTGCTATTTCACTATTGCACAAAAATAGCTGATTCATCTGACTAGTGGAGACCTATATTGGTTATAGATCATCAAGCACATATTGGACTGTTTGATTTTGATGTTTCAGATCAAAAATTGTGTTTTATTTTATAATAGATATATTAATGATTTAGGAGGGATCTAATGAAGCTGCACAATAATAAACGAATAGAGACGATGTTTAAAGAGAAGATTGGTAGGGATATATGTAAGTATTTTGATAGAAGTAGAGAGAGGTTTTCAAGGGTTTTTTGGGAATCTGAAAATTTAGTGTTTGAGTTGAATTTTGGAGATTTTGAAAAGGATGGAGAATTTTGAGAGGTTGTGGTATTGAGAGGGGTTAATATGGTCTAGCTATCAGAGATCTACAGAAAAGAGGCTTTCTTAGTAAGGCAGGGATTAAAGCAAAGCCCCATAGTAAGTTTGAAACAATACAAAGTGTAAATTACGGATCTGTAATTCATATTTTATATTATTCTGAATAGTTTCCGATGATGTTTTATCATCAAACCACTTAATTTATAGGAAAAACATATAAAGCTCTCAAACTAGGTAACATAAATGTGTTATACTAATAGATTCATACCAGTCATCTTCTAGAAAGCTTCTTGGAGAGGTAAACTTCTTTATTTTAGACATTTAACATTCTTTAGGAAAAGAACCAGAAAAATGAGGATGGATTATCTATTTGTCAAGTTGAAGGCATATCCTTGATTAACAAGCAGATAAATGAGGAGGGAGATAAATCTGTCAGACTTGGTTTAAGTTCTAGGAAATATTCAGATCCTGCATCAGACGAGCAGTATCGCAAGATGTTAGCTACAAGTTTAGATGAGAAGCCTCCATGAATGTTTGAAAAGGAAAAGAAGGCTTCAATAAATTCAGGAAATGGTTAATTTTTACCTCTCCCAATCTCACATTTTAACCTCGGGGTTTTGGGGTTTTGGGGTTTTGGGG